GACTGAAGCCGTAAAGAGTCTGGAGGAGAAGTGACGTTTCTTTGCAGATAAACAAGTGGTTGCTTGTTAATAGCCTGAAACCTGAGCAGCCTTCTGCTCACGTGCCTGACCAGCTGGTGATAAATACCAGTCAATTCCCTGCTCTTCCCCTTTCCAGTCTCGGGCTGTGTCAGATAATCAGACTGCATGAAAACAAACTCGAGCAATTGAAGAGAGTAATTGCAGCCCTTAGTATAAATGTGTCATCTGGATTATTTAAGCCTTGTTAAGTACTTCAGCAAAAGGAACTGAAATGTCATTTACAGGAGCGTCAGACTTCTCTTAAATGGCAAGCCTGGTTTGTATGGATGGAAGTCTCCATTTCAGCGTCGACCAATTTCAGTTCCTGCATGTATACTTCATGATCCTGGAGTCTAAAAGGAGCGGATTGTGCTGCCGAGACAGGTCAGGTGTGGTGGCAAGAATAAAGTTAGTCATTAAAAGCAAAAAAAAAAAAAAATCTCAGACTTAAATTTTGTTATTTTATTCTGTCATTTTAGAACAAAAGTATTTATGCTTTAGAATTGGTGTTTATTTATTTTGGAGATTTCGGAGTAACCGGTCCATCGTTTTTTCTTTCTCGGCGCCCCCTGAAATGCCAGTGGATTACAGGACGTACAGGACGTGGACAGGAATACGTCCAGTGAGCACAGAGGGTTGGGATTAAATAAATCAGTACGTTGAATAGAAAGGAGGTTTTCCTAATCTATCAGTTATGTAAAATGTGTTTGAATTGCAGTTTTGCCTAAATTAAGTCCCCATGAGCAGCCGTAACAGCTGATCCACCCTTATCAGGGTTCTTCAGAGTGACATACAGTAGCTGTACACGATATGGCCGAAACACGTCTGTTTCTCTGATGATATGTCTATCAGTGTATGCAGTTTAAGGTTTTGAATTATACAAAAGATGACTGGAATAGCATTTGAAAGTGTGTCTAAGGTTAATATATTATAAAATATCCGGACAAGGCCTAGCTGGAGGTAACTCTGTGCCCCTAGCTGGGATGCTCCACAGTGCCCTACAGGAGAACAGGCTATGCCTGGGGAAGTGGCACTATTCTTGTTGGCACACTGGCTGACTCGAACCCGTGCCAACAGTGGAACAGTGAGGATGTCAGGGCACAGCTGGCTGATGGCCAGGCTGGAAGTGGCTACTGTACAGCGTGTCTGGAGTGCAGGGCTCAAGCTGCTCTGCAAATGTGCACAGTTTGAGCTCCTCGACAGCCCTGGGACAGGATCTTTTCAAAATGGCAAAGTCTAGAAATACATTTTATAATCTAAAGTGACATCATGCATCCCTCAAGAATGGTCTATTACTCTTCTTTTTCTGATTGCTAGTCAGTGATAAGCTCCAAGGCTTTTAAATATGTATTTACAGAATCACTAGTGCTACCCCTGCACTGAGTCCATTTTCTTACTGTATATCAGTGATTTTACTACCTTTGTGCCTGAATGGCAGTAATGTTGTCTATTTAAATGTTCACATCCCAGGGGAATAAGATGATTACCTTTCTTGTCTGTGTAGAAACATTTTTCCTCCAATTCTATATATGTCCTTGGTCTCTCTTTTACAATTGCACACCTGTACTCCCGGTATTGCAGAAGAAAATTCACATGAACTGAATGACTGGTGGCACTGTACATACAGTGTTTTCTTTGCTCATGTCAGAATGAATGCTGCTGAAGTAATACTCTTCTCTAGTTCATACTCTGCTGTCTAAAGCTGTAAATCTTCCTCCCTTACATGTTCTGGATGAACAATCTGCAAGAATATAACAAAATCTATCCTTTCCGGTACATCCATGCTTCCAGACTCACACTGAACTCTTGTCACTTCGTTGGAAAATGCAGTGCTCAGAGTCATGGAGGCCCTTATGGTACTGACTAGGAAAATGGAATAATGATCTTTTTGACAAGAATACAATAGCAGCCATTTTGACCAGTTTCTTGGCAACAAAAAGCAGAAAGGCAACAAAGACATCGAAGGTGGGGCTTCTGCCCTGTAATACTGTACCTTTAATTTTCCAATCTGCTGAATAAAAACAGGTTTGCACACCCAGTATCAGAAATGATAGTCTACCATTTAACGACACCTCGTGCATCCAGTAATTGCCAATTGATCGGTTTTGTCTTAGCACCATTAGACTGGTGTGCTATTCCCTGCCTTAGGTCTTAACTCTCTGACTTTCCTCACTGGTGAAGGATAGTTAGTCTTTCCAGTACAGTACAGTAGGTACGCAGTGAGCAATGCATACGAATCTGGAGAAGCCAGATAGCTTTAACTGGAATGCAGTCCTATAGTCCTTCTGGATCTGTGAATGATCAGTGTAAAATATCACCAATCAACTTATCGGTATATACTGTAGTGCCCTTCAGGGAGAACAGCCTTCACAAAATGCTTTCCTTCAAAGCACAATTCAAATGTGGTACAAATGCTCAAAAATACATGGAAACCAAGAAAAAGGAGCAGGTAAACGAAGAGCAATGACAGGTAAGAATGCTTTAGCACCAGAAGTCCAGGCTCCAGCTTCGACCTTGTCAGATCCGCAGTGGCTACTGTACTGTAAAAGTCTCACCCTCCCATGACTGCAGGTACAGTGACTGGCTAGTTTCGGAAAGTCGTTTGAAATGAAGCATATTCCAGTTACACCCCAAAAAAAACGCTAAATCTTGACATTTTTTGAGAAGGTTGTCTGTAGAAAAGGATTCGAGCTCGTGGCGCAGTGGCACAGCGCTGGGGTGCTGTCTGCGTTGGGTCTGTATGTTATCCCCGTGTTTGCATGGGTCTCCTATGGGTGCTCCGGCTTTGTTGCTGGGTAGTTTAATTGGCTTCTGGGAAAACTGGCCCTGGTGTGAGTGTGTGTGCCGTGGGATAGACTGGCGTGCAACCCAGGGTGTACCCTGCCCTGTGCCCGTTGCTTCCTGTGATAGGCTCTGGCTTTTCCGCGACCCTGTACTGGATAAGAGGTTTTTGAAAGCGATTTGGCAGTCTACCCCCTGGGTGCTGCAATGCCTGTGTTACAGGGCTTCTAAAACTCTTCTGTGAGTTGATTTTACCCTCTACACTGCTGTTCTGCTTTTACATTTCTTACACGCTGAGCATTAAAACACAGCAGTGAAGCACTTGTGAAATTGGAAACATTTCAAAGGTACAGTATTTCGCTGCCTGCCTGCATCGGCTCAACAGAAACGCAGATCTTGTCACCTAGACAACCTCATCTTTTCCTTTGGAGATCTCTCCCTGCGCAGGAACACAATTCCAACATTCCCCATGAAAAATACAGCCGAGCCAAGCGGGCTGTCTGCTTTCCCTCTCCTGCACACAGAGTGTGGGTTTTAAAATGGGGAAGAATGCTGCTTCGAGCTCAGCCTCCACTGTATTGAAGACTTCAGGCGGTCCAAACTCTGAATCTCTGGTGGCCGCACAGCAGAGCCAAGCTCCTACTGCCACGTCAGGGTTAAGGTGTATATCTGTCAAAACAATCTCATCAGAACACTCTGACATCGTGGATGTAATTGAAATGCTCCCAGCCCGTGTGTGCAAAGTGCAATGTATCCCATACCACGCACTGTGATGGGATGACTTTGTGAGCAAGAACGCATTTGTGAATATTGCTTATTGCACAGGGTAAAATCTATTGTAATATATTATGTTTTATTGTTGTGGCTATTGCTTTCTGGGCAATTGTAACGCATAATCGGTAGTTCTAATGTCCACGACGTGACCCAGCCGGAGAACATTCCTGAAGTGCGCTCTGTGCTGCGCAGGGCTGGATGGCTGTGTCTTCTAACAGCACAGTTTCGACGCACTTACAGTAGCATTAATTGTGTTGTTTTTTTGTTGTTTTTTTCATTTTCGGGACCAACATTTTGCGATAATTTATACAGAAGGTGTGATCTGTCAAGGGTAAATATTATTCCTGTTAGAATGGGGAAAACCTCCTGTACGACAAGAGAAGTGAACATATTTAAAAATAACGACTGGACATTTTTATCTTTCAAATTTTAGGTTACTTCTAAGGGTCGTTTTAGAAAACAGAAAACCAAACCTAAAACTAACAACGGTGCATAAATATTTCTTAAGTAAGCCAATCTATTTTTTCCATATATTACAAGACCACACGACTTGTTCTATGTATTAAAGAAGAATGATTATTTTATTTTTTTACCAGTTTCCTCCATCACACAGCGCGATACACGACATGTACTGTACCACCAGAAACCGCGGCGCAGGCAGGTGTAATTGAAGCACTCTCGACTGTAATGACATTAATTATACCCATTGAGCACATTCTTCCGTTTCGTTTTAAACAGTAAACGTCACGTAGAGCGTGTCTTGGTGGGGAGAATAAGTGTCAAGTACTGAGGTATCTGTGTGTTTCTGTTGGATTCAGACAGTCCAGATCTGCTTCATGTCTTTTCTATAAATCTGGACTTTTTTTTTTTACTCTTACCGGGTTGTTTAAAGGACACCCGTACTGAACAGAGCGACGGAGCTCTCTCCAAGTCTGTCGAGTCCGGGCCGTGTGGAAGTGGCGCAGTGCCGGCCGCACTGCCTCAGCGGCTGGGCCCGGGAGTCGTGCGGTTCCGCTGGGGCCGTTCCTGCTGCCCGCGACGTTAACGGTACATGCCGGCGTTTTCTGACGATCGTTTTATTTTTTTAAAGATGTGGTAAAAGTTAAACATGCAACAGGTAGTCCTTGGCGCGGGATAATGTTTAAAAAATGTCTTACCAACTCTACTTATGACTTATTATCGTTGTTAGAGTTTAATAACACTACCCAAATACTACGTAACTGTGTTATGAATGTTACAGAGCAGGTTTAGGACAGTCGACCGACTGTTTTTACGCGCCACCGTGTTTCTCCACTTGATTCTCTGAGCTGGTGGCTCGGGTGCGAGAAAAGCACTTTTTTGTTTTGGGGGGTTTCTTGTCTTGTCGCGAAGTCCCTTTCACTCACCTGCAGGACGATCTTGGCCGTGTGCGTGGAGACTATGGTGGTGCAGATTTGAACGTTGTTGGTGTAAGTCTGGCCCATGGTGAACAGCATGGGGGTCGCCAGGAGAAACGACGCCACCCAGATAGCGCTGATCAGCTTTTTTGTTCTGCTCCTGGACATGATGCTTTTGGCCTTGAAGGGGTGGCAGATGGCCATGTACCTCTCCACGCTGAGGCTGGCGATGTTGAGCGCCGTGGCGTAGGAGCAGCCGTCTCTCAAGAAGTAATACCCTTTGCAAACGGCTCCCCCAAAAGCCCACGGGTAGTGGACCCAGATGAAGTTGTACAGCTCTATGGGCATGCAGAGGAGCAGGATGAGGATGTCGGACACCGCCAGGCTGGCCAGGTGGTAATGCACCGTGCTCTGGAGGTTCTGCAAGGTCTTCCTCCTGACCAGGGTGTACAGCGTGATGGAGTTGCCCAGGGAGCCGACGACGAACAGGGCGATGTAAATGGCGGTGACCAGAGCCTTGGAGTAGATGTCCGTGCTGACGTCCAGGCTGTCCTCCTCGTGCTCCCCGGGCGTCGCGTTCGCCGGGCGCGAGGCGTTCCCGGCCGCCGCCAGCAGGTACTGGCTGAGCATCTGGAAGTCCCGGGAGAAGTTTCGGCCCAGCAGCGTGGAGGTCTCGTCCATTGTGTGGCCGGGCAACTTCTTTTTCTTCTTCTGCTTCTCCTCCTCCTCCTCCTCCTCCCTTTTTTTCCCGGGGAACGCGGGGCGGACGGCGCGGAGAGAGGCAGGGAGCGCTCGGCGGTGTTCAGCGCAGCCCAGAGCGCCGCTCCCCCAGAAGTTGGCTTTTTATCTGGCGGAGGAGGAGGCGCGCTGCCTCTCTGCTCAGACCTCGGGCACTGACGCAAACCACTTCATTCATGAAGTCTGATCGTTTCCCTGTTTTATATAACCAGGTTTCCTCAGATACACCCCCCTCCCCCCCCCCAAAGAATCGCAAACACCTTTAAAAATTAAATGTTAAACGACAACGATTCTATATGCAGGGCGGTTTCTTATACTGTAGGTATATACTGTAATTGTCTGTCCATTTGTTGCATCGATGCTGATCTAAAGATGAAACCCTGTCTTTCTGGTGAACAACGATGAGTTTTTTTTTCAACCTGAAAGCTATAATTAGTAATGCGTACTTGGAGAAACGAATGCGAACAGAGGACAATATTACTACTTGGCGACACAGTGTTGCGTCTGCCTCAGATCTGTCTTATCAACGGCATCTTAGCTTTCTTGTTCATATTTGTATTTAAACTCACGTTTTCCCAAGTAACAAAAGGATAATAACATCTGTGTTTTTGTAACAACAAGGATACTTTAAAACATCACCCGCAGAGCTCAGTTTTGTTCCTCGGGAGGTGCGCCTTTTTTTCGGCGTCTATCGTCCTTCTTTTGACTTTGTGAGTCTTACAGGGTCTACGAGACAGTGAGCGCCGATTCGCACCCAGAATCAGAGGTGCCAGGCGAGTCACAGACGTGACCGTTTGCCCTAAATCGACGATAACCCTGCAAGCGGAATTCGAATAAATTTTTCGCCGGTTTTCTGAAAAATCCCTGTCGCTGCTGGCTGACTGTCCAGACTCAAACCAGCAATACCCCGGACATCTGGGCTTAACCGATACAGCAAATAAGCATCTCTACTATTTGAGTGTTCAAGTCTGAATTGAAAGTAAAACCACTGTTACAACATTTCACATTCCGGTCTTTTACGCTTTTTTTCTTTTAACGCTCATACCCGGGGAGAAAAATGACAATGTGATCATTTCTACACAACCTCCTTTTGCAGCACCCATAGTTAAGAGTCGAAACCTTGTTCTCTGCGGTTTAAAAGCCGAAGAGCACTCTTTAGGATTGATGTGGTTTAACCGTTTGAGGGTATGTGGAAGAATGCTGCCGTGCTCAGGCTGAGCGTCCTCACTGCTTGCTAATTAGCCATAGCAACTGTAATACCTGTCCTGCCCCACTTTCTAGAGAACAGCGTGCGTGAATTATAAAACTCATCCTTGACACACACACACACACAAACGGCCATTCGCCTGTTTTCAATACCCTGGCTCTCCCGGGATTGTCTTTTAATACCGAATTGAAAAGGACACACTCGTGGTCACAACCAGCTGTTCTTCAGAAAACCCTGCCTGTCCATCTCGGACGCGGCGCGCAGAATTTCTCTTCTTTGCGCGGTGAGAAGGAGACGGTAGAAGTGAGTTCTCGGCACCCCCCACAGGAGGGACAACGAGTTGAGAGCATCTTCCAGTCCAGCAGGTCCTGCCAAGCTGGAATAAGTGCTCCAGCATGCCTGAGGACGTCTAGGCTGATGTAAATGCTCTTGATGTGTGAAGATGGGAACGGCTTTCATCCCCGAACGTGGGGTTTGAATGCGCGTGTGAGCACTCACCGGCTCTAGTGCTCGAGTTTCAGTAGCATGAGCAAATGGCTCTTCTGTCATGATCTGATCTCTGTTCCCGTTCCTTCCCCCATCCTGGTGGTTTGCAAAGAAAGTTTCTAGCACAGGGCCACCCACAGCTGGGAGTTGCCTGGTGGTGTATTTAACATGAGCCCTGTTTTTTTTTCTTAAATAGAGCCTAAAAAGAAACGAATGGAAAATGTTCCGATTCAATAAACATTCCCCTGAAACAGGAAGGGTAGATGAAGGATTTGACACTTTGTCAGTGTGTTTCCCACAAATTACATCAGTGCTTTGGTCTCTCCCATCTTGTCCACTACTTTCCCACAATTGTTTTGGTAAGTATCTTTATTGCAAAATCAATGATTTATGATATTGGGAAATGCCCAATCTAAAAGGCAGTATCTTTCTTTACCCAGTGTATTTAGTCACAGACACAAAATTAGCACAGGGTCAGCTGGGATATGTTAGGACACTAAGCAAGGGGCTTTAATACAGTACTAATCATTTAAGACACCTAAGTGGCTTCATTTTAAGGAATTTATTTACTAGAATTAGTAGTAATTTAGTAAGTACATTGTGATGGCCATTGCTCTAGCTAACCCACCGATACAGTCAAGCCTTCGGCTGGGGAAGCTGGAGAGACGTCCTTCTCCCAGGATGCAACAGCTGGAGCCCACCCAGGATTCGAGCCCACAGCTTTCCAGTCGGGGTCCAGGGGCCCTAACCTGCCACTAGCTTGCAGCCAGAACAGGACCCGGTGTAAAACTCGCCGTGAGTTAGCTCGCTGAGAAGTGTATTCTGAGAAACTGAACACGGACACATTCGTCATTTTGAGGTGACGGGTTGCAGGAGTGGTCTGGTGGCACAGGTGAGCTGCATCTGCCTATAAACATTGATAAATAAGTGATTCTTCCTTTACTGAACTGGACATATGGCTTCAGGTGTGCTTTCTTCATGTATCATTTTCTCCTGTTACGTCATATTTAGTCCTTTTTTTGTTGTTTGTAAATTATGAGACAGAATTCAATGCGGTATGGATCTTCAATGACTTCTGCAAGCCATTGGAATTGTCACTGAAACTGCACCATTGGGATACCATACGTATAATATTGTGCTGACATTATGTGTTGGAAGATCTCATGTTCAGACAGTGGTAGAAGTGCAACAATAAAACAACATGCGTGCCAGGGGTTAAATTTGATCATTAGCGGAATGAAATGCGAGTCAAACTGGGATGAGTCACCAGTGTCACCTAATGACAACCACATCTGTCCCGTTGAGACCTGAATACAGGAGCAACTAACTTTGGTCATCGTGGTTGGTGATCAGACCAGTTTTGTGGTTGTAATTAACCGAATCTCCTCCCAAAAGGAAGTAATGGAAACCATGTGATCGGAAATAAGCACTGGAATCCAGTTACATAGAAAAAAAAGTCACACTGTGAGTGGTGTACCTAAAATGCCCATCACTCCGACGGCTGTGAAATGAACTTGTTAACACGCCTCAAACACAAGCTCTCTGGTGTCTGCAGCCCAACCACAGCAAGTCAAGTGAGTACCGCTCTCGAACTGAATCAACGGGGGTATTAGATTGAGCTGAACCAGTTTTCTTAGAACTGAAAAGGAAAAGGTGTCTTGACACCTGAGTTCTCGGCTTGCAGTGGTCCATCGGCTCCTGGCTCTCTCTCTCACAACGAGGCCGTACTATATTCCGGTATTCCGGAGCTGGTTAGGAATTCTAGGTTAGCTTTCGGGATGCTCATGGGAATAGGACAAACCAAAGTGTGAAATACAGCAGAACAGGAACAAAAAAGACCTTGGGGGGGGTGGGGGTTATAATATTTATTGTCTCACCGCCCACAGTAGGCTGTCAGTGAGTTGAAACCAGCAGTGTTCCAGCGTCCAGTCAAGGATGGGGAAAAAAACGAATGAGTCATCGCTTCACCCGTGTTTGATACCATTTATACTCCGTACGTCAAAGGGTTTCACTGCTTCGTTAATCTGTCAGGCCTGTCCCCCGGCCTTCCCAGCCCCGGCGGCTACAGTAATTACAGTACTCCAGGCACAGCCAGATGAGTCAGAAGACATATCAGAGGGCGAGCAATTTACATCCGTTTATTTGACATTAAATGCCTCAATGATTCTCTACTTTAGAATTCTCCCTCCCTGGCCCCTCCATCATTTTGGAATCTGTACTGGCCGGGTAAACCGGCTCTGTCTGTTGTGACACAGTGACCCGGGTTCGAGGCGACAGTGTCTGGGTCCATGTCTGGACCCCTCATGGCCGGCTGCTTGGGTCGTGAGGCCGCTGCTACGAATGATGAAGGAGCTGGTTGACGCTATTCCAGCAGCCCTATCGAGTAAACCACGCGCCCTGGCACTGAAGAATTTGGTCGGGTTCACCAATGTGACCCCGAGGAACGCCGCACGGTCACAGCGCCCTCCTGAGGATGCTGCGCTGGCCAGCCCCGGCTTCACTCACTCAGCAGCATGAGGCTGGGCGCAGTCCTCCACAGCCCCGGGGGAGTGTGTTCCTCGTGGTGACCCGTTTGCCCTGAGGGTCAAAGCCTGCCGAATGAGAATTGTTTTGATCCGAGTTCAGCCCGGCCCCACGACCCCCGCTGTGTGGTGTGCACACAGCAGAGGGTGCTCAGCATGAGCACGTTGAAAGCTACAGCACCAGGTTTGCCACAAAGGTCTGGGTGGAGTTACTTATGATCAGCTGCCTCATTTAGTCATTTTGAGATTTCAGCAGGTGTCATGAATCAAAGGCAGCAATGTGTGCTGCTAAACAAAACTTGAGCTGTATTGACATCTTTTCAGTTTATTCAATATTTCGTGTTGTTTGTCGTTTCAGTTCTGTGCACCTCTACTGCTGAGGGTGTTCAGATTATGACAGCAAGAGTAACTGGAATTCACTCACCAAACGCTAAGCTTTTTACAGGTTTGCAGACATTTAATGCCACAGAACAATCAATGTAATGGGAGAGAAAGGAGAGCTTGATTTATTTAATTTGACTTACCAAGCGCTTACTGTATAAAAGAACAATTCAAAGAATGCAGCATTGTGGGATTGTTACTATTATATTCCATGGTCCAAGTCTTTTTGACATACAGTCAAAAATCTCTTTTTGTGCCTTGTACTTTGTACTGGTTAATTAATCTCTAGAACATGGCAACAGACATGTGCCTAATCACTACTTTTCCCTTTTCAGTAGAGATTAGTTTGGAAAATCCAGGGATCAGAGCAACACTGAAAATGACTGACAAACATCCTCCTCGCAGCTTTCCCTTCTGACACTTGGAGGCACATTGGTCTCCAGAAATGCCATTTAACACATCTACGCAGAGAGCGCAGTCTCAGATTGACTAATAATTCCTACCCTCCTGGGTGCTCATTTCTCAGCTTGTTTAATCCTGTATCACTGTGTTCTGCTTTCTAGAGCCAGGGAATCAACTATAAAGCCATAGAAATCTACAGAGACAATAAACAGTC